GACGACGACGACGACGACGACAATAATGATGATGATGATGATTGACTAACAAATGGTTTACTAATTTCACACTCTGATCGCCAACGCAATATTGTGCGTAAATCAAGGAACGAGGCTCGCTTGCTTGCCTCTTCTTTATTATCCTGCTGCTGCCAGTAGTAGTTGTAGTTGCGGCAGATGTAGTAGCAGCAACAGCGGCAGTAGTAATAGTAATAGTTGTTGCAGTGGTACTAGTTGGTGTAGTAGAGGCAGTAGTAGTAGTAGTAGTAATAGTAGCAATAGTATTAGTTGTAGTAGTAGTGGTAGTGGTAGTAGAAGTAGTAGTAGTAGCAGTAGTAGTAGTAACGTTAAAGAAAAAAAAATAAAAATATTACTGTTAATAATTTCAAAGATAATAGAAGTAGTAGTAGTATAATGATTATTAGCCAGCCTTATTTGTAGCGGTATCACAAGTTTTATATATAAAAATAAAAAGTTTTATTATTATTATTATTATTATTAGTAGTAGTAGTAGTAGTAGTAGTAGCGACAGTAGTAATAGTGGCAGTAGCAATAGCAGTAAATGTATGTATAGTAATTAATATTGCGTAAATTGCAGTTGCGTTAAAAAATTTGTGAACATTTTTCCAATGAACTTCAGTGCGTTTAAAGTTCTTAATAATGTAGCTAATAGACGCCTAATTAATGGCTATCGTTAAAAACTAAAAAACAAAATCATGTGCAAATAAAATTTAGACAGGTAAATAATATCTTATATATATCTAATATATATAACAACAACAACAGTAACAAAAAACAACAGTTACAGCTACATTAGCAGCAACAACAACAACAACGACGACCACAACAGCAAAACAACAGACAGGAGCAACAAATTTGTGAAGAATCTGGTGCTCCTGCATGCAAAGCAATGCTTCTTCTAACAGTACATCACACTTTTTGTTGTTGCGATAAACAAAAACCAGGAAAAAGATAGGAATATATAAAAACTGTTATAAATGAGAGCAAAAAAACAAAACTAGAGATACTAAACAGTAAAGCAAACAACCGCAACAACACAAAAAATCATCAACTACTAAAACATTATTATTAAACTCTTACATCAATAAAAACCTCGTTACTAACTTTTTCAACAACATTGAACACAAACATCTCAAAATAACACATTATACAATTGAATAAACGTTAAAATTAACCCAAATTCAACAATGCAGACCTGCTCAATCAACAATAGCAACAACAACGACGACGACAACAACAACAACAACAAACAAACATACAACAACAGCAATACACACAAAATACAAAACAAACAACAACAACAAAACCAGTCTACAACCGAAACAACATCACCACCAACAACAAAAACTTATAAAACCTTTCCCAGTAATGGACGAACAAGAACATAAATAAAAAAAAGAAAACTGTAAAATGACATGGAGCCCGATGTACAGTCGTTAATTAGCTATCTATCAATGATTCACGACTACAAGTAACAGTGCAAAATAAAATTCTTTGTAATGATACATTTCTTTATTAAGTATAAATAAATTCTTTATTCCCATTATTAAAAATAATATACTTTTTATAAAAAAAAATAACAAAATTAATAAAAATGATGAGACAGCTCTTTACCATCATTAACATTTTAATGGTAAGTACCTTAATCAATCAAGAAAAATTTTTGAATTATTTAATAATGTGCTTTCTGGATCAATGCTTTACTGGCAACGAATGGATTTACATTAGAAAAAAATACTATTATATTGCCAACCACGAATTCTGTCATACAGATAAAAAAGCAAAAAACATTAACAAAATTTTACACCAACATAGAAATAATAAACATTTCCAACAACACTGACATTAACAATGACATCACCAGCAACAACATCATCAACAGTAACATCAACAGAACGATTACATTAACACAAATAGCTACTACAACAACAACTTTACTAGGAACAGCAGAGAATAATTTAGAGTGAATAAAAATATTTGTAAGGTGAATTGCACTCGTCAGAGATTACACGGTAGCCCCGCAATGATCTTAACAGAGTTTAGTTAGAGAGGTGTTGAAACCGTCTAGACATCGTTGTTGGCATTTACATTTCAACATGTGTGCTGCACGCTGTGTTTATTTTTCAATTTGCTCTTTAGTGGTTTTGATGTTGTTGTTAGTGACTGCGTTGTGTTGGTAATGTTAACTTTGTTGTTTTGCTGGCTGGTTTAGAGTTTGAGAAAATAAAAGTTTGTTTGGTCGCATTTATGTGTTTGTGTGTTTATAATTCTGTTTATGATTTGATTTTACTAGGTTATGTATTGTTAACTTTGGTCTTTATTTTGTTGTTTTTAGAAGTATTTTCCACGTTTGTAAAAATAAATACCTTTACGGTTGAGCACTTGATAAAAGTTTCAACATTTCATTTTTTAAACTGAAACTTGAACTGAAATTTTTTAACTGAATATTTAGAGCCTGTCCTTTTAAAAACACGTGAAAATTTTATCGATTTAAAAAGATCCAGCAGCTCTCAAATGAACTAGGAAATGAGCACGCGAAATAAGAGGAAATTTTTTAAAACAACTGTAAAAAAAAGCCATTGCATACGATACAAGGCAAAAAAAAAGATAAATAAAATCTTAAAATAGGCTGCTGCTACATTTGACTTTGATGTTGTTTTAATAAAAAGGATGGTTTTTGAAACACAAAAAGGCACACAAATACCTATCTACCCACCTACCTACATACAATTTATTCATGAAAGATGTAAAGATTTTGTCACCGTGACATTTTTGTAAGAGATTTTTATGTATGTATATCCATTGAAATATTGTTACGTCAATTTTATTTTTAGTTTTTAATCACTGTAGCTTTTACTTTATTTAGATTTAAATTTATTTAATTATTCGCTGATGACAGTGATGTTGCTGTTGTTGTGATTGCTGTTGTTGTTGCTGCTGCTATTGTGGTAGCTTTGTAGTCTTTTTTTTATTTCCTCCATCTGCAAACTTAGATTATAGAGAATAAACAATCACTTGTCTGTCATGTTTATTTACGAGGGACCGCCCGCTGCTGATTTGGTTTGTTACCTTTAAAATGAAAATTTAATTTAATTTATTAAAATCTTTTTCAAATTAATTTTATATTCAATTTATAATTAAAGGTTTGTTATTTATAAATTTGAATTTAATTTAGTTCATCGTTTGTTGTCGACTTATGTTCCAGACTTTATTTTTCATTTTATCGCTTAGGAATTTATCAATCTCCAACCGAAACATTTATTGCAAAATAATCCATCCACTTTCACAGTAGAAAGATTTCACATTTATAACTATCTAGTGACCATCAATGAATGCATTTTCAACAATTCATTCATCGAAAATTTAACTCATCAATTCATCCTTCAAAAACTTAATTCATCAATTCATGCGATACATTAATTTTATTCGACGTCCAATGTACTGAAATCATTCGTCAAACATCCAATTTATTCATTCATCAGTTGAACATTCAGTACATTTATTTATTAATCCATCCATCCATACATTTATCTACCCATCCATCCTTTCATTCTTTGATCCATCCATCTATCATTCGTTCATTCATTCATTCATTCATTCGTTCATTCATTCATTCATTAATTCATTCATTCATTCATTCATTCATTCATTCATTCATTCATTCATTCATTCATTCATTCATTCATTCATTCATTCATTCATTCATTCATTTATTCATTCATTCATTCATTCATTCATTCATTCATTCATTCATTCATTCATTCATTCATTCATTCATTCATTCATTCATTCATTCATTCACTCATTTACTCATTCACTCATTCACTCATTCAACCACAGCACGTGGTCTGCGATGCACTTTTTACACACCATTCAACTCATGAATATGAAAAAAACACGGCACATACACGCCTAACAAATTGGTCTGTAGTCCGACTCGCAGCGGGTTGCCGAGACAAATAAATTATGAATGTCTCTGAACGACTCGTATTATCAATGCATGTCAATACTTTATTGGCCTTTAGTTTTTCATTTATTTTGAATATGTGTTAATGTGGCGTTTGTATATAAGCGTGTGTGAGCGTGTGTGTCTTTTTGACGTGTTATAAGTGTGTTGCACATTGCTTTGTTGGGCATTGGGAGCTGTGAACTAAGATGTGTTTATATCCGTGGGAGGTTTTTCTATTTATGTTCTGTTCCTTCGCTGTTCCTTCACCATTGCCATAATCGTTATCATTGTCTTAGTTTTATTTGTCATCATCGTGATCAAGATGGTCGTGTGAAAATTATTTTTCTTTATTCTGCATTCCAACTGAACAATAACGAGATAACTTTCTGATGTTAGTTTATTACTATCAATGAGCTAATTACATTTAAAAATAATTAAATTGTGATTCAACAGTGTTAAATTTAAATTATTCTACTTGTTGAAATTAACACTAAAGAAATTAGCATAACACACTCAACACACACACACCACACAACACACACACACACACACACACACATTTGCATAACTTTTCATTAATCAAAACTTTTAATTTATTAGTAGCAAATTTCAAGCAGTGACAGTCTGTCTATTAATCTGCTTACCGCTGGACATCTTACGCTCCTCCTCCGTATTTTTATTTTCGATTTTTTTCCCTCTTCTCCAGTCCAATTTTTACCATAAAAACAATTATAACATCAACATTAACGCTAGCAATTATTATGCTACTATAACTACTGCTACTACTACTGCTTCTGCTACAACAACAACAACTACTACCACTACTGCAACTAATGAGAATAACAAACATAATCGTAATTTTATCACGACGTTTTGGAGAATGATGAGATTGAAAAAATGGTAAAAGTAAATGGAAAAATAAACTCAGATGGGAAGAATGAAGTGAGATGGATGAAAAGAATGAAAAGACAGAAGAAAAGAAGTAGCAGGCAAGGAAAGCATGCCTGCCCATTTCATTGTAGGAACGAAATCAAATTTTAACGACGACAAACAAATCCTTCTTCATGCCCAGAATTCCTGGAAGAAAGAGGATGATGAGGAAGATGAGGATGATGAGGAAGATGAGGATGATGAAGAAGATGAAAAAAATGATGATGTTGGTAGTGATATATAGGTATGATGCTGATGCAAAAAGATGGCCATAAAGATGATGAAATCGAAAAAGAAGGTTGAGATAGGGCTGATTAATGTTTGGGTTATTGTGGTCATTAATTAAAAACGACTTTAATTACATTAGCCGAATTCAAATCTTTACCAATAAATCTTAAATACATCACTACCATCAACTTATCATCGTGCCCATCATCATCTTATTCTTCTCTTCATCTTCGTCATCATCTTAATCATCATATTCATCTTCACATCACTCAATCATTACAAATGTTCAAAAACTTGAAAAACTCTTACGATAAATAGTTTTATATAAGAAAATTACATAAGTTGAATTACCTCCAATTCTGCCAGTTTTGGACTGAACATTATATTAAGCACGTAAGAACTATTTACTGGATGCATGTGCGTTTTCCTGCTTGCATCTAAACAAACTAAAAAACAGTATTTGTATGTGTATGTGTATATGTTTGTGTGTTTTATGTACGTAAGTGTATATGTGGGTGCAAGTTTATGTATGTGGGATTGACAGAAAGTATTGGCTAAGTTAGAATGGATGAGAGAATCCATGTAAAATCTGTCCAAAATTTTTGCTCATGGTTTTAACTTTATTTAATATTGTTTGAAACAGATAAAAAAAATTCATTAACTTTTTCTAAGAATCAGAATAAATTAATTTTGAAGATTATTTTAAGATTGATTTCGAATTAGATCATATCATGTTATAATATAAACTTATATATTTTTTAGTTATAATGCACCGCACACACACAAACACACACACCACACACACACACATTACACACATTACACAGATTACACATATATGCCAGTTACATATTATTACATGTAAAGTATTTTTGTATGTAAAAAATTGTTGTGATGGTATGCCAGAAGGTTGAAGTTGTGTGTGTACACATGATTAAGCATGCATCAGGGTATGTCTTTTTATTGCTCTTTATGTGATGTTTTTATGTGTCCTGATAAATTTACGTTTAAGCTAGACACACCAGACAAAAGAGAGAGAGAGAAAGTGAGAGAGAGTGGGCAAGAAAGAAAGAGAGAAAAAAAAATATTTAAAAATTTAAGAAAAAAGTAAAAATTGGATACGCAGAGAAAAAACAAAAAAGTAAATAAAATGCAAATTAAAATGGATGTACAACTTAAAGCTGAAAATAAATTCTTGTTATTATGTATAGTATTGTAATATTATAGAGAATTAAATAAAACTCTGATTTGAATGTTTTAATCAACATCTTGCTCTGTCTATTCAGTCAGACGTTAGATATATATCCAAGATGTTGATGTCTCTCTCCCTCTCTCTCTCTCTCTCCCTCTTTCTCTCTCTCTTTTTTCTGTTATTTTGGTTGGTTTTTTTTTAAATGATAATCATATAATGGGTTTATGGGTTTGCCGGGAGCCATATGTTGTTGAATTACGTTTTATACGCTAATAAAAATTTTATATACGCACGTGAAGGCTCAGTTTTATATAGAAAAGTGAAGTGACACAAAATTGTGTTATGGGCTAAAAGAAAAGGTTCGACAAGTATTCCCAGTTTTAGCCTCCCGTCAAACAATGCTTCCTCCCCATCAATGTAGTCCAGATCAGCCTATGCGATGATGTATATGTTTAGTTGATGATGATATAATAATTAAGAGATGATGGTGATGAAAATAATGATGAGGATTGTGATGATAATGATGATGAAGATGTTAATGATGATGAAGATGACGATGATAACGAGAATGATGAAGCTGACGATGATAACGAGAATGATAATAATAATAATAGAATGGTTGATGGTGATGATGATGCTGTTGTTGTTGTTGATGATGATGATAGAAGTAATGATGGTAAGAAAAATGATGACATGACTAAACGCAGATGATTAGCGCGCCTGTCACTTCGGAATGAAATTCTCACTTTTAATTCATAACTCTGCGAGCTGGGGCAATTTGTCCTCGAGTCGTACGAAACATTAACAAATTGCAGTAATTCATACTTGTCAGCGGCAAACATTTATCTAAACAGGCAGAAACTCACATACACAGAAACACACGTACTTAGACACACACAAGCAAACAAACATCGATATTTGTATTTGTTTGCTAAAAGCGCGCATACAAACACACACACACACACACACACACACACACACACACACACACACACACACACACACACAAGTATATACTCACACAAACACGTTCATACATACACAGATACGCACCAAAACATTTAATCTAACACTCACATAAACGCATTAATTCATGTACACACTCACATACTCATGTGTGTATGATTCATATATGCATGTTTGGATAAACACATGAATGCCACTTTTTAACACAAAACTCTTCTGCTGTTTTTTCTGTTGATTTGTTGTTTACGTTGTTGAAAACACGAACCTATTTATGATACAGTTGATGATGTTGTTGTTGACAATATTGTTGATGATGATATTGGTGATGATACAGATGATGATACTGTCAATGATACCGCTGTTGACACTGTCAATGATACCGCTGATGATACTGCCGATGATAGCGCTGATAGTGACCATAATATATTGACGACATCAATAACAACGCAATATCACCACTTACAACAAAAACAACTACAGCATAACAACGACGTTAACAATTACTCCTACAACAATCTTAAAAGCAGCAGCAACAGCAGCAGCAACTACTACCACACCACAAAACCACAACCACAAGAGAAACAAGAAATTCCTTCAATTATGAAAGACATCAATCGTCAGCTGCCTTCATTAGTTACGCGTATTGAACGCACCACAATCTTATCTTCTCGCCTGCGTCTTTAAAACAAGACAGCTGCTACTACCACCGCCGTCACCGCAACGTCAACTGCTTCTACCACAACGACGTCACTCACTACTACTACATCAACTACAACCAAAATATACACTAAAATCGCAAGGCCAACTACGATTACTGTAACATTTATCACTATTACAACAACAACAACTACTACTACTACTACTACTATACTACTACTAATACCACCCCCACTACTACTACTAATACTACTACTACTACTACTACTACTACTACTACTACTACTACTACTACTGCTACTACTACTTATTCTTATAAATATTATTAATTCATTATTATTTCGGTTTTAAATATTATTTTCTAGAGAATTATACCACCATGTGCATTGTAATCACAGCCATCGTATATATCCCACAATGTCTTCTTATCTACAATGTTGTCCTCGTCAACGATAACTTTTTTTCTGGTTTTGTCTGCAATTTTCATTGGAGAAGAACAAACCGGCTACAACATAAAGAACCGTTTGATCAGCATTAGCTGTTCAATTACAGCCAGGACGATATCTACAACAGTAGTTTGATTGTTGATGATACTAATGATACTAGCTTGATTTTTAATGATAGTGTTGGTGATACTATATAATGGTGATGTTGTTGATGAAACTAATGATACTGGTTTAAGTTTTAATGATATTGTTGATGATATCATGGATGATACTTTGTATTGCTAATATTGTTTATGATACTAATGATACTAGTTTGATTGTTTAGGATATTGTTGATGATACTAAGGATGATATCGTTGATGATATTGTTGAATGATAAAAAAAAAATAGTAAAAAAATGAAATCGTTTACGTCTACACAAGAGAATTTCAACAAATTTGAATAAGAATTGTCAAAAAATTTTGTTTTTTTAAAAATTCCGCCGGCGAAACGATACAAATATAATAATGGCTTTGAACTAAAGATCGTTATAGATAGCGGCATTTGAATAAATATAATAAATACACAACGGCATAGGCTCGAATTCAAACAAAATTGAAATACCACGCACAGACGCATGTAACTTAAAAAGTTTTTCTAAACATTGGAAAGAATTCAGCCTCACAAGCGCACAGACACACATCTCTCACGAACATTGTTGCAAAGAAAGAAATTAAAAGATGAACAAAAGATGCAAGTTGCAAGCAGCGATTGTGGACAGCTGGAAAATAAACTCTTGAGAACGTGCTGACAAGAGCAGGAAGGCTGCACTTGAAAGAGAACTTAATTGCTAAACATACATACAACTGACTAACAATATATTTCTACTTAATTGTTACTTGGGTGGGTGAGAAAAACTAGTTATTTTTTTAAATTTTCTGTTCTTTTTTGTGATAATAACAACGATACTTATGCTAATTATCGCTATAACTGACATAATCACCACTATCATCACTATCATCATCATCACCACAATTATCATCATCATCACCACAATCAACATCATCATCAACGCAATCATCATCATCACTTTCATCATCATTACTATCACTTTCATCATTCTCACCATCATCTGACGATGGAAATAATAATTCGGCATTAAAATTTCAATATAATGGCTCTGGACTCGACTGGGTTAATGGCCGCTAATTTATTTCACGTATACAACACCCATCCACACACACACAATCATACACACACACTCACACACATACACAATCACACACACACACATACACACACACCTACCTTACACACACGCAAAACCTTATAACTCGTTGTTTTTACGATACCGCTATATCCCACCTTACAACTTACCTTTTTAAACCGTGGTCCCACCATTTTGTGCTAAGTTTTAAATCAATTTTGCACAAAATGTTTTATTTTAATTTTTGCCACAAAATCTATTTTTATTGCGGAATTCATTCGACTTTTTGAAAAAACTTTTAATTTGAATACGCTTTCCCCAGAATTTTTCAAACTTATCCATCTATTTTTGTCAACTATTTGATTGAAAATTTCGTCCTGAATGGTGTATCGTTGTCCTCAGTATCATGATATCAATAATATTTTTGAATTTCAACATAATAGAAAAATTAAAAAAGTTATCAGTTTTATGTTGCGTGATTTGTAGTTATACATGAAAGAAGAATGTATTCAACTTAAAAAATCTCCTAAATAGAATTTTTATTTCAATAAATAAACTGTTTTTAGTTTTAAAAAACTAAAAAATTGATTAAGGTTCTATATTTTAAATTTATATATTTATGCCATATATCATATTACATATACAACAACTCTATTTAACATCGAATCATATTACTCCCATCATTATATAGTACATCGAGTCACATCAGTTTATACCACATTGCAACATATTACATCACATCCAATCACATCCAATCACATCACGTGACACATGACATCATTAACTTTTCATAATTCTTCCTCCTTTTTGAAATTTTCAAGTCCCGACATGTTCCTCCGCCATTGACTGATCACTTCATTTTCAGATCTGAAATATGAAAGTCTTGATCGATTCGATGTTTTTTTTAACATCCAGGTCACGTGTTATGTTTTCTTCCGTTGTTAGACATCAACGACGACGGTTCGGAATTTTTAATGGAGAGAGAGAGAGAGACAGAGAGAGAGAGAGAGAGAGAAGAAAAAAAACAAAGATAGAAAAAAGAGAGAGAAAGATGAAAAAATAATTTTTCGACTGATAATTAAAAGCAATTGTGCTTTTGCTGGCAGATGTCAGATAGCCCGCGAAGTCGACATTTGCATGTTCATTAAAAGAAAATTTTTCAAACACAAATTGCCTACAGACCGTTGAACGTGGTCAGAGTACTACATACTACAAGCTTGTAGATGTTTGTAGATGTTTGTATAAATTTGGTATTATGTGTGAATCAAGCACTCTGCGTGAAGAAGGTTTTTGTATATAAACATTTGTTATTTTCTGGTATTATCATAGATAAATTTATAAACGAATTTCAAAAAGTAAAAAACTGAACTGCCTCTTCGTTTTAGAATTGTATTTAAATTGAAATGAACCTAGCAATAACTATAAACATCCAACTTTATAAACCGCATATTCATGTAATTAACATACTCTCACAAACTGATAGAGAGACTGACAGACAGACAAGCAGACAGAGACAGAAAGAAAGAACTCCTATCATTAATTACATGATTTTTCCCCACAACGATATATAAAATCTTCTAATTAAATATTCAAGATTATCAAGCGAACATTAAAAAAGCTACTTAACTATTTTTGTAAGTGTGATTATTTTGTCGTTATTATCGTTGATATGTTGTTGGTGTTGTTGCTGCCGCCGTTGCTGCTGTTTCTATGAAGTTAATGTTGTTGTTGTCATTAATGTTGTTGTTTGCAGTTGATGTTGTTGTGGCTGTGGTAAAATAACTTATGACATAAAACAAGGTGATGTTTTTTTTTAAGATACAAAAATTATATAAAAGGATATTTTTTTACAGTAAAATATTTTCGATTTTAATAATTTCAATTTTTTTCTTCAAAATTTTCCCCTGCATTGAAGTTTTTAATTTAAATAATTAATGGGTCTAGGCTAGTTTTGATACTTTTGTTTTTTTTTATTTTTACAAATTTATTATTACTATTCATTCATTTGCTTGATAACTTTACCACTCAAGCTATTTTGATGTACTTTTCAACTCTTAATATCTTTAAACATAAGTTTGTACACAAGTAGAACAAAAAAAAAATCAAGTACTTACACACACACACACACACACACACAGACACATTTTTTTCTAAACTGACAACAAAAAAGCGACCAAAAAACTAGACACCATTTGCAAAGAAAGGACACGCAATATTAATTATTTGGTTTGCCATCAAGCTGTCACTTAGTTTTTTTCTAGTATCCCTCATGTATTTGTTTTTTTTATATTATTATTTGTCCGTTTAGTTTTAAATTATTTATTCACTAAAGTTTAATTATTTTATTGACATAAATGAATATATTCAGTTTCTATAAATATTGTACTTGAAGCTTTATTCTGTTAAATATTTTAATTTATTTAAATAATAAATTTACTTAATACTAACTCGTAAATTATTGATTAAACCGCTCATTTTTCATTTCAATGAAAGAAGAAACCATTCGTCGTGAGGAGATGATTTAAAAAAAAGTTATGAACGCCAAAATCAAACTTAAGAAAAAAATAAAAAGATAAAAAATTAGAAT